TCTTCAACCACCTTTGAGAGTTGGGTGGTTTCATAGGTAATAAGATTACCTCGAAGAGCATCATAGGTCGTTGTTTGGAAGTCACGACCTTCTTCGATTGCGTCCACCTTTGAACGCCATTTAGGAGATAGGCTTCGCAGCACCTTTCTCACGAGCTCTCGGTCGGTGTATGTCTTCCCGAGAAGATTGAGGGGATTGATGATGTTAGAGAATCTCTCAAACATTTCCTCAATCTTTTCATTTTCCTTCATTGAAAAGAGTTCATACTCGTGAGTGAGATGGTCAATTTTGGCCACCCGAACCTGCGTGGTTCCTTCGTAGGTGACCTCCAATTTCTCCCACATTTGTTTTGCGGTTTCACACCGCGAGATTTTGCGGTAGTCATCCGCGTTAACACCGCAATAAATCATGTTTATTGCCTTGGCATTGAGCTCCATCTTTTTGCAATCTTCGTCGGTGAACTCTTCTTCGGTTTTGGGAACATTTACTTCACCGACTTTCTTCATCGGGACTCCGCAGCCGTTCTTCACAATCAACCACAGCTTGTAGTCGTTGGATTGGATAAAGATTCTCATTCTCTCCTTCCAATACGAGTAGTTGGTTCCATCGAACAATGGTGGCCTCGTGGTTGATTGTCCCTCGTTTACTCCTGCGTTGAACATTCTTGATGTCATTTGATCTTTTGGTTCCTGAAAAATAACGCATTCGAAGAACTTCCTGCTCCGATACCAATTGTTAGACAAATGTGCAACTCTAGAGGGGGGGTGAATAGAGTTGTTTTCAAGAATGTGCGTTTTTCGCGTGTGTGAAATATTAGAATCGCAAAAATAAATAAAGAGAGTAAGGGAAAGAAGAACATTGAGATTTATACTGGTTCACCACCTCGTGGCTAATCCAGTCTTCCGAGAGACTCTCTCGAAAGTCCTACTAATCTTCAAGCTTCAACGGGTGCTTGAAAAACCGGTACAACTTGAGAACTTGAATCGCACAAGCCTCACTTTCTTACAACAACAAGACTTGAGTCACACAAGTCTTAAGAACAACACTCAAAAGAGATTGAGTTTACAACACAAGAATGAAAGCTCACACAATTGAGCAAAGTAGTGTTGAAGAATTTAAGCTCTATGGATGACAACTTCTTTAGCACTTAAAGAAAATATTTCTAACTCTCAAAAAAAATATTTTGATGAGGAAGATGAAGCAAAGGATGAATATAGCTCAAAGAATATATTGAAGTGCAAAAGGTGTGTCTTGAAATGAAGGAGAATGAGGGATTAAATAGGCTGAGGAAAATAAAGCCGTTGAAGAAGGCTGATGATATGCACCAGACAGAATTAATCGACTAATTTAGGAATTTTAATCGATTAAAGTGTACAGAAGCGAAAGAGGCTTTTGCGCAGGGTGCAAGATAATCGATTAATTTTGACAAAGTAATCGATTAGATGGCGCTGTCTCAACTAATCGATTAAATGAAGAAGATTAATCGATTAATTTAAAAAAACGGCTTCAGCGAGAAATGCAATCTTAATCGATTAATTTTGAAGGAAAAATCGATTAGTGTGCGCTGTGAGAATTAATCGATTAAAAGAGTAAGAAAAATCGATTAATAATGAAGGCTTGAGAAATCCAGCGCTGTGAAAATGGATCTAATCGATTATTTTAGAATAATTAATCGATTAAAGTAAAAATAATGCGCAAACATAAAGGGCCCAAGCCAAGCGCGATTGGAAGCCCTTTGGCTTCTAACTCGTTGTTTTGAACAACGGGAATATCAAAGGACAACGGACGCTCCTACTCAATTAATTTGAGTAGGGGAAAAAAAAGAGTCCAAAAATTGTTTTGTGTGTCAAATGATGTACACGAAAAATATTTAAGGTATATTTTTTCTTAAAAAAAAATTTGTGTAATCTCAAAAAATGTTTTTAAAAAGTTTTGACACACTTATTTTGAGACTGACTCAGTAAAATATTTTAAACTGAAGAAAAGTAATTTTTTAACTGACTCAAAAAAAAATAATAATTTTTATCCCTCAGAAATTAATTTGTTTGTGCAGAAGATATTGTCATCCTTACACATATTCCTAGACTAAAATAAAAAGTCTTCGGAGTCTTCTCTTCACTTAAAAAATCTGCGTAGGGGTGGTCGTCGATTTATATCGCCATAAACTTCTTGATACCCTTCTTTGCTTTTCTTGATATGAAAAATAAATTTTCGATCAGCTGGAAATTAATCATCCTGTTTGTCATTCATCAAAACAAAAAATATTCCAGAAGAAAAAGAAAAGGGGTTTGAACTCATGTCCAACATAACGCCCCAAAATATACCCTAGAATTATTAATGAATAATTATTCAATTAATCAAATTTGTTTTGATTAAAATAAATTGTTGTTGGGCTTTGGGCCAAAACAAAACATATATTGATGTCCAATATCACAATCTGGATAAATCTCATAGTGATAAATCCAATATGTTGACTTACTATGATCTTAATTTGGGGAACCAGAGTATAGACCCAAATTAGGGATTTGTTTATAATGTGAACTTTGAAATGATTTATTGAAATAAATCATGAAAAAAAATAACATGAATTAAATATATGAATTTTATTGAACAAAGGTCAATTAAATGAATTTTGACTCTGTCAAATTCAACCACCCAAAAATATGATGTCAGAAAAAGTATTACAAATAAATATGAAAATTATATCTTCGGATAGAGTTTAACTGCACGATCGCAAAGGTGCAAATGGAATTCGATTCGGAGAAAGTTGAACAAAAAAATGTACCCCGACTGGAACCAAAAATTGGTCCCAATCAGGGACACTGTGCGAACGGCGCCTCCTCCTCCACTCAGCCGATTTCTACGTAGAAGCAGCTCAGCATTGTCCTCTTCCCCTTCATCAACTCCTATATAAGGAGTACTCAAACCCTTCAAACATACATCATTTTTTCTCAAAGTTAGTCCATAAGAATCCTGAGAGTGAGGAGAGTGGTCTGGTGTTGTTGATTGTTGTTGAAGTCGCCGGAGCTAGCCACAAACCTCGCCGGAAGTATCGCCAGAAAATTTCCAAAACCTTCAATAAGCTTCGAGGTAAGCCTGTAGATATATCTAGTGACTAGAATGTTCGTATAGATCGTTTCTACGTTCATAAACGGTCATTTGGTTGAGTTTTGTGTTTGACATGTTTGAAGAACCAAGAATCATAAACCATGAAATTGTTGTTAAAACTACGAATTAATAACTCTAAAATGATCTGTGAACATTGGGGAACATTCCTATATAATTTAATTGAAGTTTGGTGATTAAAAATGAATATACTCAAAACTGACCAGAGAAAGAAGATGAGGAACAGTAGCCGAAAATCGATTATTTACTTCTAAAAAATCGATTAGAATTATGTCCAGAAGAGGATGTTCGAAGTCAGTATATAATCGATTATTTAAAATATAAAAATCGATTTTTAGCAATTAATTGATTATTTAAAATATAAAAATAGATTTTTAGCATTTAATTGATTATTTAAAATATAAGAATCGATTTTTAGCATTTAATTGATTATTTAAAATATGAAAATCGATTTTAGCTATTAATGGATTATTTTAAATATAAAAATCTATTTTTAGGTATTAATTGATTATTTTAAAAAAATAAAAATAAATTTCCTCAAGTACAGATCCTGTTCTGAAAATATTATTGAAAATATGCTCTAAAATCCTATTTTGTTACCAATTAATTATAAACCATAAAAATATGATTTTGTACAATAAAAATGATGTTTGTGACATATAAACATTATGTGATGCATGACGGTAAGTTCGGGTGTTAACACTCGAGACTAGGCCGCTATTTGTTATTATGCATTATGACCATTGTTTGATTGTTGATTTTAATGAATTAATGATGATGAACGTTTTGAATGATGATCATGAATTGTTAAAGTGAAAATAATGAATTAATGAATCGTATTATTAAGGATATCTAGAACAACTCTAAGATATACCCACTTGTATATTGATGATGATTATTAAGGATATCTAGAAGAACTCTAAGATATACCCACTTGTATATTGATGATTATTAAGGATACCTACTTGACCAATTCATATTTCGGGTTAAAACGTACGTACGGGATCCAGAACGGATATCACCCACCCGACAAATCATTGTTCGGTTGGTACGTAATCCACATGACTCATAGGGTGGATTATCGATTCTTGTGTTCTGCATTAAACTATTTATAGTTTAAGGGCCTGGTTAGAATTACTGCCTTAGACTAGGAATAGCTAAGAGCTGAGTATAAAATGATGTGGCCTTAGATTAAGAATAATTTAAGAACATTATTGATATATTGAATATCAAATGACTTGGAATAAAATATTGAAAATATTATGAATGTTTGAACCATATATTGTGTGCATGATATCAAATGGGTGATTAGGAATTGAGATTCAATTTATGTGGATGTTCGACGCTTTAGATATGCTTACTCAGCTTCACCGCTGAGCGTGTAGTGTGTTTTATTTGCTACACGCAGGTAAACAGAAAGATTAATGTGATCCTGACGGCAGATGGGGCGAGATTGTCAGGATGGATGTGACAAGTTTTGAAATAATTTATGATATGTCAATATTAAATTCGCTTCCGCAATATTGTTAAATACTTCATACTGTATATGTTATGAAAAATATTATTGGGATTAATAAAGTGTGTTTGAAAAGTTTTAAATTTTACGATTACCAAGTTAAATACTTTAGTCCGAATGGGGCTGCAGACCTGGACGGATTAGGGTGTTACAGGTGGAATGTCAGAGTTCTCTCAAATGACTATATATCAAAAACTTAATGGTGATGTGAGCGATGCTTGTGCTTTCCACAAGTGTCCAACAGTGCATAAAAAGTTGTGGCTACGCGTAAAACTTGGTGAAGAAATTTTTGATGATGAATCTGTGTAGATGTTCTATTCTTTAGTCTCTGCTGCTCCTTAACTCTGTGATTGTGCGCCCTGCTCTGTGTCTGGACACGGGATTCGTTACTATTTTCGTTTATTATGCTTTATGCATATAGAGATGTTTAATATGTTACCTCTTGTTAGAAGGGTTTGTCTCTCCACATTTTAGTCTGGTTTCAAAACCAGTATAATGCTTCCTTTTATGTGTTTTGTCTCATTGTGTGTGTCTCCTTTTATGCTTCTTTATTTTCTTATTTCAAAAATTCACAACTCTTTTCATAAACTGTGGTTAAGCTTTCATTCCTTTTTTTTTGTCATTCTGTGTGTCTCCACTTTGAATAATGATGTTGCAGCTGTTAAGCCTTCATTCTTTTGGGTTTTATTTTTTGACATTAACCTTTGCAATGAAAATACTGTTGGACATGAATTCAAACCCCTTTATTATTTTTTCTGGAATATTTTCTTGTTTTGATAAATGACAAACAGGATGATGAAATTCAAACGATGATCGAAAATTTACTTTTCGTACCGAGAAAAGAAAAGAGGCGTATCAAGAAAGTTACGGGATAAAAATCAATGCTCACCCCCACGCAGATTTTTGAAGTGAAGTGAAGACTCCGAAGACTTTTTTATTTTTATTGAGTCTAGGATTCTTGTAAGGATGACAATATCTTTTGCACAAAACAATTTAATTTCTGAGGGATAAAAATTATTTTTGAGTCAGTTGAAAAATCATTTTTTCTCTGTCTAAAATATTTTAGTGAGTCAGTTTCAAAATAAGTGTGTCAAAATTTCTTTAAAACATTTTTTTTAAAGTTACACAATTTTCTTTGGTGAGAAAAATATACTTTAAATATTTTTTCGTGTATTGTTTGACACACAAAATAATTTTTTGGACTCTCTTTTTCTCTCCCCTACTCAAATTCATTGAATAGGGAGATTTTTCAA